TGACCCAATAAAATATGATCTGAATATGTCAGATGCGAACACCATCGCCAAAAGCTTTTTCGTTAGTAGCATAATTCATATGAGCCTCATCAAAAGTCATACTAGCGTAGTAAATTACATATGAAATCTTTTCCTTGCATTGACTCGACAATGTCACCATTGCATGATCACTGGCATTGCACATAAACTCAAACGGATAATCCCAATCTGAAGAAGTCAAAATCGGAATAGAAAACTTTTCCTTTAGAGTGTTGAAAGCGGTCAAACGTTCCTTAGAAAAGTGAAATGAAGTCCATTTTTCCCAATAAATTGCACAATGGCTTTGAGATTTTGGAGAAGTCTTTGATGAAGCGGCGATAAAACCTGACATAACCCAATAAACTTCTGACTCCCAATGGTAATTTCTCAATGACTTGTATTTTAGCTCTATCTGCCTCAATACCTCTTAATAATATCAAATGTCCCAACATGATTCCTTCCTGAACTATGAAACGACATTTTCACACTAATGCAAAACTTTCCCCAAATGTTCGATGCAATCCTTGAATGACTTTCCAAAGAATGAGAAATCAACCATAAGCACCTCAATGATATTTTCCACCATGTCCAAGAAAATATATATCATATAGCACTGAAAAATAGCGAAAGCGTTGCATGGGCTGAAGGGCATCCCACTATAAGTAAAAGTACCATATGGGCATGTGAAGGTACTTTTTTCCTAATCATCTGGTGCTATAACAATCTAGTTGTNCTTTTGTTACCCCTAAACCTATTTACCCTAAAAGAGATAAATGTATTAAATTAATGCTAGCTCCTAAATCATGTAAAACCCCTAGATCTTTTAACTTTAGTGGTAACTTGTGTTGGAGAATTGTGCTGCACTCCTCAGTAAGCATAATTGTCTCATTGTCCTCCAACTTTCTTTTGTTTGATAGAATGTTTTTCATGAATTTGGCATAGCTAGACATCTGAACTAAAGCTTCAGCAAACAGTGTGTTAATGTGCAACTTTTTGAACACATCCAAAAAATGGGATTGGATGAATATATACTTTGACATGAGCGATTGCCTTCACTTATAAACTATCTGATAACGCAACTCAATTCTCTCGTGGCCTTGTCTGACTCATCCACTTGCACCTCACCCAAGGTAGGTACCTTTTCTATGACAATTGTTGGCCGCTTTACATGTGTCTGGTAACTGGACTCCACTACGTATAGTGATTACTTTGACCTTCTCCTCAGGATTTGTCTCAGTATTGCTAGGTAAAGTCCCTTGAACTCTATCCTACATGTTGTTCCAAGTTCTTGATCTAAACCCGTCGATTTTGAAAATTTGTCTCGATTTTATTAATATACAAAGATAGCAAATCTTTTGACAGCTTTCTCACTTGTTGTTGTTGTTACCATTGGAACCTTAGTGCTATATTTTTATTATTTCTTCCATGTCCCTGTCCTTGCCCCTGATTGTTAGACTATGAAAGTTCAGATGGTTCATCCACCCTGGATTATAAGTGTTGTAATAAGAATTGTTCTGTTGTTTTAGAAAGTTCTATGCGTAGGCATCCTTAGGTGGTATTTGGACTCTTACATCGAATGTAGATACTATACCCCTGGTTCCCGACACCTCTCGATTATATTATATGTCATACCCACACCCAACTCAAAGAAGATGATGATTTTACTAGTCACTTTTGGAGGGTTAATTATATGAATGGTCACTGAACTTTGCCTTATATTACTACGTAGTCACCGAACTTAAAAATGTAACTCAATGGTCACTCAATTTCGCCAAGTGTTACTAATTCATAACCAAACTTTAAAATGTATCTCAATGGTCACCAAACATTGCACCGTGTTACCCATCTGTCACTCAAATGGAAAAATCTGTTAAGTCCAACAAACGATGTCAACTTGAGTGACAGATGGGTAACACAGTGCAAAGTTTGATGACCATTGAGATACATTTTAAAGTTCCGTTATGAAGTAGTAACATTTGGTGAAGTTCAGTGACCATTGAGTTACATTTTTAAGTTCGGTGACTAAGTAGTAACATAGGGCAAAGTTCAGTGACCATTAAAATATATTTTTTAATTGAATTATTAAACCCTTGTTTGAGTCTCATTCTTTCCAAAAAAAAATACATTCTTAAACAATGATTTGACATCAATCAACCACACATTCTTCAATAAAATAATATTACACGCAAATCTAAAACTTTTCCTTATTTTTTAACACACATTTCCCATCAATATACTATTCAAAAATTCATTTTATCCCTCAAAATGGGGATCAAATAAGGGCTAAACTTCTCAAATCGACCTCTATGAAAGAAAAAATCAAAGAAAATGAAGGGAAAAAAAAGGAAACAGAAAATCAGAGACCTATAAATTAAATAAAAATAGAATTGTTGCTAATATTCATCCATCATGGTGAAAAAGTACGTTTGGTTTTTAGATCAACTGGTATCAGTTTATCGTATCTCAAACTCCGCATAAATAGATTGAAAGAGAAACAGTTAGAACACTAAAAAAAATTTGACAAAGAAAAATTAAATAAAAGTACAAAAATGTTCGAATAATGCCAATGTAACTGAGGTCAATTTGATTTTTCAACTATGTTACTATTTAGTCACTGAACTTAAAAATGTAACTCAATGGTCACTGAACTTTTTCAAGTATTACTACTTCATAATCGAACTTTAAAATGTATCTCAATAGTCACCAAACTTTGCACCGTACAACCCATCCGTCACTCGAGTTGACACCGTTTGTTGGACATAATGGATTTTTCCATTTGAGTGACGGATTGGTAATACGATGTACAGTTCAATGACTATTGAGATACATTTTAAAGTTCGATTATGAAGTAGTAACACTTGACGAAGTTTAGTGACCATTGAGTTATATTTTTAAGTTCAGGGACTAAGTAGTAACATAGGGCAAAGTTCAGTGACCATTCATATAATTAACCCTACTTTTGGATAACCCTTTCGCTTATGGTTAGTACTAAATTGAAATTCTCTACTGCAAACCACCCTTAGAGTGTTGGTCCAATTGAAGTTGTTAACCTAGGTCTTGACAATTTATTAAAGTGTCTAGTCTAGAAAAATCTTAGAAATTGGGGTTTGATCCTCCCAACAATTCAAATTGAGTATAATAGTTCTGTGAATCAATCTCTAGTTCTGGGTCTCTTTGAAGTTATTCATAGTTATAAGTCTATGAGGACTTTAGACCTTATTCCTATGTCCTCACAAGCTAACGTATCAATGTAGGCTGAGGCATTTATACATCATCTTCATAACTTGCATATTGAAATTATTAAACAACTTGAAACAAGTAATTCCCCATATAAAGTTTGAGCTAGTTTGCATAAACGACATATTTAACTTAATATTAGGGACTACGTTATATTGCAAGCCTTTAATGTTGGTCCTTTTAAAATTCTAAAGCATGTTGGTCCAAATGCGTACGTCATTGATCATTTATCACATTTTGGATACAACTCTGCTTTAATATATTGAGGACTTAGCTACTTACAAAACATATTATGATTCCTTTGATGATCTTTTTCTACTTCCATATGTGAACCCCCAAACCTAAATATATTACCATTTCTACTCTTATTAAACTTGTTGTAGCATATAAAGATAAAATTGATATTATTTTAGATGAACAGGTTATGTTGACCGTTGATAGAGAGATTCAGTGCTTCGTTGTTTGTGGGTAAATCGACCTGTTTATTGTGCTTCTCATTATGCACAATCATGTTAAGATTACTAGTTGCATTTCAGTATCGGTATTTGTTTAAAAAGAGAGATCATCCACATAGCATGACTTAGAGTCTTTTGTTATCAAATTGCAACCTTTTAATTTATCCACAAGACCGAATTTAAGTTTTCTCCCACCCCGAAAAAGTTGATGAGGACATCCATCTATGTTTATTTGAGAAAAAATCGCAAGTCATCTAAGTATGAACAATTTAATTTTCAGGATTTAAGTTTCAAAATTCAAAAATCAGGTATTAATTAATTAATTAATTATATTTTATTTTATTAATTAAATATATTAATGTCACAATTATACAATTATATTAATGCTGCTGATAACTCTCAGCAACCCCGGATGCCAGCAGCGTCGACTGGGGCAGATCCTTCATCATTAGTCGTAGTGATCCCTCATCACCAGTCATCGCGATCCTTCATCATCGATCGTCGGCGTTCAAAGAGAGAAAAGGGAGAGAAAAGAACGGAGAGGAGGGAGAGATGTAGAGAAAAGAGAGATATGAGGGGGAGTAAATTTTATGAAAATGAATTAGGGTTAAGGTGTTTTTTGATACTTGATTGGTGAATAAACTAACTTCATCCATAATTTTTTAATTGTAATCTTTAAACACTTGAGGTTATGTAATTTCTACTATTTTTTTTTTTTCCATTGTTGGACTCTTTATGTTTTATTAGTGGGCTTGTAATATGGGTTAGCCCAATCCTTTTTTATTTTTAGGTTTGTTGTTTTATTCATGTATTCCTAGTATTGTAACTTTGTAAACAGGCCATAATCATATGAAATGAAAATGGTTTTGGCTTGCAGCCAATGAAATCTCCCCTCCCCCGAGATTCTCTTCCCTCTCCTGTTGCTTCTCCGTTCTTGCTTCTATCCTTCTTCTTCCCCATCTGTGATTTTCCCGCTTGCTGCAATTCTACCTCTTACTTCCTGTTGTTAACTGCTGCTTCTAATTAACCGTGGGAATACATCCATTGATCCCACACCAGGCAGCTTTATCGCGATCACAATTTTCTGATATCATCTTCATAAAATCTTGAGTGGTTCTTCACCGGCTTATATTTATTCTCCTACCTCCTTTAATGATGATATACGAGAAGAGTTCGTTACGATTTTCAGTTTACCTTGTTTTAATCCCTTGTTTTACAGTATTCGAGATTTACTTAAATAGAAAAAGATTGACCATTAATATATATATTAATTTTAATTAAGAGACAGAAGAAACAAGTCGAGGCATAATTTACTAATTACATTCCTGAACACTCATGCCCTCTCCCGACCATAGTCATCATATAAATTCAGTGCACGCAATCAAAAAAAGAAAATAAAATTACAAATTATTATAAGAGAGAAAAGGTGAAAAGGTTTACGGCCAAGAGACTGGTCCATTAACACAGTTCCATCATTCTTCAAACTCATTGATATGATCTAACAGGTAGTTCGCAGCAAGCTCTTCATCCTTGTTGCAGGCAAAGAACACCTCCAAAACAAGTGCTCGATCAAACCCCATCGCTTCGAGCTGGGAGGAGGAAGAGCCATATAAATAGCATAATCGTTAGTAGGACTAAATTGACACTGTCACGCTTCATTATGTCTCCTTATCATGTATCATAAGTTACATAACCAGACGTGAAGCATGGAAAAGCTTCAATTTCAAAGTCGAGCAGAAAAAAAAATAAAGTGAAAAAAAAAAATTTCTTCCCTGAACATTGGTGCGTTAATGCATAACAGAGACCAGATGTGCTTGAAGCAAAGACAAAAAAGGGCCAGATGTATAAGCCCAATGAGTGAGAACGTGTTTCTGTTTTTTCAATCCATTACATCAAAGTCACTATGGAGCAATGTTACCATTGAACAAGTAGAACCTCCCTAATTACGTAAAAGGGGAGATACAAAAAAGACACCTCGAGAGTACCTTCACCAAACTCAATAATAGATGACGACAAGTTTCAAGAAATACAGATTTGACCTAAAGGATAAAAAGAGTACCAGTTGATGAAGCTTCCTAGAGGTGCACCTCATATTCTCATAATCCCCATCGCTATCTCAACATACAGGAAAAGGGAATCCAGTTCAAGTAAGAAAAATTTAAACAGATTAATGGAGAGAACAGTTGCTTCTCAAAATCAAGAACCAGGGTTTGGTTTTCTAGCATTTTTACTTTATTTTTCTTTTAAAGTTTAACATCTTTCTTTTGGTTGCACAACAAAAATTATTAGTCAAGGTATGGCTAAATTTCTGACTATGCAAATTTTTTCATGTATTTATAAATTATTATTAACCTAATCCCAGAACTGCCTGTTCTTCGTCTCCTGCACAATCGGATACTGCAATGATAAAGTTTGCACAAGACACAAATGAATTACTTAGCAAATTATATTTTTCGAAAGATACTCCCAACCTAAACACTAAAAATCAACTCATAGTTTGGCTTGCACCTACCCGTTCTATGGCTTCACGTTCCTCAGGAGTAACTGTAATAGCCTGTGGCATAGCTTCAGCTAGCTGCCCTAGTATGTTACTGATATCACATCAAAAACATAACAGCATATGAACACATTTTGGGGCACAGGCAAATGACAAAAACATGATAGTTCCAGAAAAAAAATAAAGTTTGCACAAGACACAAATGAATTACTTAGCAAATTATACTTGCATTTTTCGAAAGATACTCCCAACCTAAACACTAAAAATCAACTCATAGTTTGGCTTGCACCTACCCGTTCTATGGCTTCACGTTCCTCAGGAGTAACTGTAATAGCCTGTGGCATAGCTTCAGCTAGCTGCCCTAGTATGTTACTGATATCACATCAAAAACATAACAGCATATGAACACATTTTGGGGCACAGGCAAATGACAAAAACATGATAGTTCCAGAAAAACAATAAAAAATAATAAAAAATAAAAAAAATAAAAATAAAAATAAAAACTTTAGAGAGTACCTTTCTCCGCCTTCAACAGGTTCATTGATAAGGCGAAGGAAATCAGCCTGATGCTCTTGAATCAGCCTCAATAAATTAGGATTTTGCTTTCCTAACTCCTGAAGCATGGGCTGTAAAGAGAGACAAGAATCACACAGATTTGTCCGGAAACGTACAAATCAGTATTAACTAGAAAAAGGGAACAAACGTTAAGTTAGCAGCCAACAAAACCTGTAATATTTGTGGGTTGGCCTGCACCATCGTTCGCAAGGCTTGGAACTGAAACACAAAACAACAAATAAAATGTCCAAGTCAGAGTAAAGGAGATTCCATTTTTCTCACTTATTCGTACTATCGTTATTTTTAATTTTTTTAAACCTTTATTTATGGTCTTAGTTTGTTGGGTTTTTTTTTTTTGGGGGGGGGGGGGGGGGGGGGGGGGGGG